GTTGAAGACAAAGTGCAGCGGGTGGTTGTAGAAGCGGGTGATGGTTTTGAGCGGCGTGCAGTCGTCGGGGTCCACGAAAGCCAGGTCCTTGACAAAAAGCAGGTCCACGATGTTGGAGCGATCGCCCTCAAAGACAGGGATGCGGGTGTAGCCGCTCTCCATGATCTCCGACATGGTGTTGAAGTCCAGCACGGCCTCGGCGGCAATCATGAAGCAGTCCCGCAGGGGCGTCATCACATCCTCCACCGTCTTGGTGCGCAGCTCCAGTGCCCCTTGGATGATGTTGAGCTCCTCCTTCACCAGGTCGTTGTAGGGGTCAGTGACCCGCAGCATCTCCAGCAGCTTCTCTCGGTTGTAGACCGTGCCGATCTCCTGGCCCAGCACACAGTCCAGCAGCTTGCTGACCGGGTAGGAGGCTGGGAAGGTCATCATCATGAAGAACTTGGTGAGGAAGATGGTGTTGGCACCCACGGCCAGGCCGTGCCGGGAGCAGATGGCCTGCGGCACAATCTCGCCGAAGATGACGATGCCGATGGTGGACACCACCACGGCCACCAGCCCCGAGCCGGCGATGTCGTCCAGCAAGATGGTGAGGGTGGTGTTGACCAGCACGTTGCCCAGCAGCAGCGAGCACAGCAGGTAGTTGCCCTGGCGCCGCACCGGCTCAATGCGCTTGGCGTAGTTCTTCTCCTTGTCTGTGCCACAGTTCTGCACAATGCGCAGCTCCATAGGGTCCAGTGCCATGAGTCCCAGGTTGAGCCCACTGAACATGCCCGAGAGGCACAGCAGCAGCGAGATGAAGATCACCTGCAGCCAGAAGGGCAGCAGGAACTTCTTCTCCTCGCCCACAATCATCTTGGTGTCCTCACCATCATGGTAGATCCACGTCGTCTCCGTCCAGCCCGGCCCGTCGGCAGCACCCAGCGCGCTGGGCGGTGCCGCCACCGAGGTGCACAGGTAGTACGACTTGCTCTTCTCCGTCTTGCGCAGGGGCTTGATCTCGATCTCGATAATGCCCGACGTGCGGCGGTTCAGCACAATGTGCGGCAAGATGATGATGTCCGACGTGCGGATGCCACAGCGCTGCGGGGACGGGGGGCTGTCGCCACTCTCGCTGCCACCACCCGGCCCTGGGCCGGCACCTGGCGCCGCCATCCCGCGGCGCCGCCGCTCGTGCTCGGTGAAGGCGATGCGCGACCACGTCTCGTTGTTGATGTTCTGCCCGTAGACCCGCAGCTTCACCCGCGTGCGCTCGCTCACACGCAGCGCGCCGCCCTCCATGAACGACACGTCGTCCGTGTCCTCCAGGCGCAGCCCGATGATCACCGTCTCCTCAGGGCCGGTGGCGGCGGGGGAGGCCAGGGCGCCGGCCGCAGGCTGCTCGCCCAGGCAGTGCCCGCCCAGCAGCAGCAGCAGCAGCAGCGGCGGCGGC